ATTTCATGACATCTCCTCTTTCGGACCACTATAACGTCACGCCAAACGTGAAAAAGCACATATCTGCACACTAGGCAATGTAGATGGGAACAAATCCTATCGATCAAGACCTATCTGCCTCCAAAAACATGTTGTTTACTATGAAAAATGTGTAAAATAGCGATGTTCGTATGGCGTCGTCCGCGTTCGCGTTCGCGTTTTTTGTTCGCCGATTATCTCAAAAAGTTGACAAGATAATTGAGATCTGTAAAAGCCAAAAGTTTTGGCATGTCGAGACAAAGCTTCGGATTGATTTTGAGCCATATCCGATGTGACCTTGGGGTACCTCTCCTAAGAAAAACCCTCAAAAATTGTACATTTGTACGGGAAGTACCCGAAAAAAGCATTTTTCAGAGTTTCGATCAAGGCAAACTGCCATTTTTTTGCAAAAATAATGGGAGTCTGTGAACAACCGAACACCTACTTGCCCATAAATTTGGTCCGAAATCAACATTTCTTGAAATATTCCTCGAAAAATAGACTTTTGTATGAAAAATCACTCAGAAAGCCATTTTTTAGGGTTTTGGTCAAAGCAAACTGATATTTTTTTTGCAAAAATAATGGGAGCCTTCGAACGACCGAACACCTACTTGCCCATAAATTTGGTCCGAAATCAACATTTCTTTAATTTTTTTTTCGAAAATGACACTTTTGTACGGAAAATGGTCGAAATAGTTATATTTTAAGGTCAAAAATGGTATGAAAAAAGGGTCCATTGGAATTTTGGTTAAACATTAAGCGGGAGGTAAACTAAATTGCTGCGGAGCGGAAAAGTTTGGATTACGTATGTAATTCGTTTTATTTTATAATTCATTTTTCAATGCCTACTAATTCTAACAATTTATTTCCATCAAATTGATCTCAACCCAAGCAAATATACAAAACATTTATGTTTAAGTGATTTGATTTGATTTGATGCAACAATAAGGAAGAAGAAAACGCTTATATAAGAAAAGTTAATTTGCATGTTTTAAAATTGTTTGGGAAGTGATGTTTGTCTTTAACCATACGTTACCATCACAACGGAGGTGATGGTTTAGTTCCATTGTCGAATGTACCGGATTTGCTCAATGACGATTCAAACTACGGAAAAAGATGAAATAAAATATTTTTGAAACATTAAAATTAATTGTGAATCATTTCAACAAAAATGTGCCTCAGAACGCAGTTCGTATGGAAAAATGAAGGAAAGAATACAATCCAAACGTCTGTTGACTGAAATGTTAAAACTTACCTATTTTTGGTTTGTATCCATTCGGACATCTATTTGCTGCTGCTGCTGCTGCTGCTGTTGGTGCATAGTATTCACCGAATGCTAAGTCCTTTGGTTTATCAGGATAGAGATGAGTACATACGTCGAGTTTTCTCAAAAAATCGCCAATTGAACGAGACGGTTTGATTATTTCAAAATCCTTAATGAGATATGGGTCCATAATTTCAAAGTTTAGCGATCCATCTGCATTGTTCTCAACCCAAGCAACCGATATACCAACTGAAATTGAACAATAAAGAACAGATATTATGTTGTACTTTGCTGAAAATATCTGATCAAAGTCAAATCATTTACCGAGTTTACTGTCAGAGAATCGTAGCAAAAAGGTGCCTGCAGGACATGTGCGAAGCATTTCTTCGGCTTTACTTTTGCTAATAAAACCATGGATGAGCCCTTTCTCCCATTCTTTGCTGAGATGCAATCGCGTTAGTTTCGTTGCTTCGTGGAACCAATTGAAGAATGAGAAATTTCGATCGATCAAATTATCCTTGCAAAATTGCGTCCATGTGATCGAACGATCTTGCCTTGACGAAGAACCGAAGACCTTTTCATCTGCAAATAAAATGAAAAAATCAATTTTATTGTTCAACATCGAAATAGACTATAAATAGCAAATTTGCTAAGTGATATTTACACAAGTATTGCAAGTGTTCGTCGGTCAAAGTGCAGCCCGTTTGATAGTTGAATCTTGTTTTCAGAGCCCATTCCATATGCGACCACG